GACAGCCAAGTATGGATTATTCTTATTTATTATATAGAAATGATAGAGTGATAGAAACAAACATTTTCAAGTCGCATCCTGGCCTGGCATTATGAATCACTGCAGCCACATTGAAACACGCTGATTTATAGCTGCTGAGTGCCTGACAGCATTTGTTTAGGGTGTTTTCTTTTGGGGGAAGAGGGATGTAATTTTTTAGGTCTCAAAGTACGTGCCTCCTCTGAAGAAGAATCACATAGAAATAGCTTCCCAGAACGTCATGTTTATTACATCTCAGTGACGTCTCTGTCCTGTGTGCTCAGGATCAGTTTTATAGACAAAAGGGTGCTCTGTTCGAAGCTCAGGAGATATGCTGTTTTTTTGACTGATGGCTTTATCCATTCATCCTGTGTTCTCAGCATGAAGAGAGTCCTCTTTTTATACCACTTCATTATCAATAACAACTTTCAAAGCCGAAATAGGTCCTGTGTCACACTAGGATAACTCCATTGCCTGGCAGGTGTTTCTTCTCCCCACTTAGCGGTGCTGCTTCTGCTGAGCAAGGGTATTTTTCTGGCTGGACGCATACATCTCTCCTATGCCTGTACTCTGGGATACCCACTGGGGCCAGAACTGCTCGTAAGAAAGATGCTACTTCTATGTAATCACTAAGCAGAGGAGAGCTGGATTGGAGGCATCTGGGGTGGGAATGACTAACAGGGGTTGCAAAGGTTGTATTAAGGGCTGCGACGGCTCTGGGACTATTCATGCACGACATGGCTTTTCACCCTGGGTCTCAAAGCCAGCCTTGCCGCTGTCCTCTCCGCAACCGCAGTTGTGGTCGCGCAGGGCTGGGCCCTCCCCACGGCCCTGGCAGGGCGCGGGGGTTGCACCGTGCCGCCAGGCCAAGCGGTGCTCGCTGCAGTAGATACCAACGATGAGGTTGTGCAAGGTCTCCACTGCCACCTACTGATAAAAAGCTGACAGCGACACCGCTAAACGAAAGGCACAACCAGCAGACGTCCACCTTCTTCAGGTTTTATTTTAATTTTCCACAGCGAAGACCAATGGAAAAATGCTTACAAGGACCACAAGAAGCACCGTGAAAGGGGGGAGAACGGCCTTTTCGTGGAGTCTCTAAGCAAAGCTTATTTCATTAAACGATTAAACATTATGCAACATTTGTACAGCTTAATTACAACTTTTTAAGACAAGCCGAACACCACTTTTTCATAGCAATAAAACATGACAAGGCATGAAAGATGGTTCAATACTTTCTGCTTAATAGCTTGTTAGGCATAAGGCTAGAGGCCGACAGCTAGTGACTACACAACAAGGTGTGAATTATTGCACCATAATTCTCACCCTGGAGTGTTTTATTGCAATTAATAACTGTTTTCATGTTTTAAATATATTTTCTCACACCATTAAAAGCAGAAATGGAAAGTACTTGCTAATGGGAGAAATACCAGGAGAACTGGGCACAGATCACCAACTGGAGCAACTTCCTTGGTTTCATGCTATTTTGATCTCCTTTTAAATGATTCTGGAATCCTGTTTGGCTATACAACGGCGTGGGCCCAAAGCCCTGTTATTTCCCTTTGTTGAAGTAGCTCTCGCTGCAAATCTCTTCAGAGAGATTCTGAGCTGGGAAGCAACTCCCATTTATTTTCAACATATTTTCACCAATTCACTTCAGCTACACAAACCGACACATTCAGTTCCCCATGCCAAGCTACTAACTTCTGAGAAGGGCAGTTCTTTATTTTGAAAGAAGGAAACAGAAGAGAAGAATGGATTTGGAAAGAATTAGTTGCCTTTCTTGAGTAGCCTAGCCCTGTGGCAAATCTGAAACTGTTCCAGTCTAATTTAGGGTAAACTGAAAGCTGAAGAAAACCAGGTATCACGAAAATATAATAGTATTTGAGGCCCCTAATCCAGATCTTACTGAAGCTGTTGGAAATGCAAACCTGCCCTATACTGGGAGCTGAGTCAGCCTCTTGGTACTGAATTGGTGCCGTAAAAATGCTACGTGAAGCAGTTGATCTCAAAAAGCCAGTCTTTGATACCTAATAGCAAATGTAGGGATTGGGAATATAGGTAACAAGAAGTAAAATTGATTGGCAGTTAGAACTTTCACTTAAGAAAAACTTGATGGAATTATGAGCTTAATAATGGAGGTCTCTCAGGCTGTCTGCCACTGTTTCAAATGCCCCAGAGGTCAGTAGCACTGTAAATGGATGCGGTCAGATATGGTGGTTGTCTCTTTCTGGATGTTAGTAGAAATGTATTTCGTCCATTATCCAGTTTCTAGTCAGGACATAGCACAAAGCTAATTCTAGTAGCACTAAAGAGGAGAGACCACATTTCAATTTTTTTTCAGTGTTTGGTAAACCTGTGGCAAGGTCCCACTTCCCTTTCTGCTGCTGCTGCTGCTTTTCTTATTTTTTCTTACTTCTTCTTTTTACTGTTGTTCAGATGTTTATGGCACCTGGGCTTACTGTTTCTTACTTCTTCTTACTGTTGTTCGTATGTTTATGGCATCTGGGGCTGTTTTATGGACCAGCGTCCCACACGTGCTGGGCAAGGTGCAGGACAAAAACATAGCCCCTGTCCTGAAGAGATAGCAATGTAAGAAACAAGAGAAAAGTGATAGAGACAGAACAGAGCTGCCCCAGCAGGCAAGGAAGGTTTGTTGCAGGAGAAAACAGTGAGTATCCTCTCTCCTTTCAGTTCAAACAAGGAGGCTGGGTGGCAGCACCTCCTTCACTTCCATGAAAACTCTTCTGGAGAGGGAGACTTTTCCCCTCTTCTCTTCAATGCTAAGGGCAGAGCACCTGAAAGCAGTCGTAAAACATTTCCAGTCAAAGGGGTTCAGGTGCCAAACGAAAAACCAGAACAAATATTGGTGAAGTGGCCAACTTTAGGATGCACTTCATGACTCCTCATTTGAAAAAGCTTCTCTGCAACCACAAAGCAGAGAAAAGGGGAACAAAAAGGAGTTTCCTCCCACTCAAGAAGGCAGAGAAGTAGAGTGTCCGGGGTCCCAAAGGGCAGCTCGTCCTGCAGTGGCAGTGCAAGAGGCCCCTGCAAGAGGCATGATAGCGAGAAGTCATTGGCTTCTTTGATGTCAATCTTGGCAGAAGGCACCAAGGACTCAGTGGCGGGAAGACTAAACTATGTAGTTTCCATTCCTGGCTCAGAGCAATCCAAGTGCACATATCGGGCTTTTAGCACTCCCTGAACCGCAGTCAATGGGATTGTATGCTGATTGAGGGAGGCAATGATTTATCCCCGTTTTAGAACTGAAACACGCAGTGCTGTACCATTACAAAGCTTACTCTGCCAAAGTCCATGTGGTATTTATTCTAATGCTACCACTGGAGACTGCGTTCCCTCATCTGTTTCCCTGTCATCTGTAATAAACACTGACCATACAGTAACAATGAGATGATTTTGTAATTCAGAATATGGTAGGCTTTGTGCCTGTGCCTTTATGTTTGTATTAATGTCCATGGAATCCAATTGGATGTTGCTTTTAAAACAACCTGAGTCAACTGAATTCATTTTTAAGGAAGACTGCCTGAAAAAAAAATTAAATATTAATAATATCTGAATTTGAATATGTTGCTCAGAAGGAAAATTTTTAGAAGAATTTAGTTTATTCTGCAAATGACTTTGGTAGTCTTTTTTTAAAGGCTGTGACTTTCGTATATATCTTCCCTTCTAGCAGTTGAAGTAAACAAAATGTAAATCTCCTCTCCATAAAGCACAGCAAAATAATAATTTCCAGCTGGCCTTTCTGATGGAAGATCAAAGTCCTTCATCTTAGACTTGGGAGATTTCCCTTGCATGCTGGTATCAGTTTTATCTGAATGCAGTTTGTCTAACATTTACTTCTTTTAGAAAGACAATTATCTAGATGAAGCTGCAGGAAAATGCTCTTAGTGTTGAGGAAAATTGTAAAGATAGAAAAATGTTGCGGGCAGGTGACAGGAGAGGAAAGAATCTTTCTCACTTTGAGTTATAAGAAAACTAGTCATTTCTATACATTGAAAAACACCAGCTCTGTATGCAAATATTAAATAAGCAAAACAGAGTTGTTTCTACATGGGTGCAACTGGTTTGGCCAAACTCCCCGCCATACATCTCTAATTCCAACCGTCAGCCAAACTACTCCTGAGGCTAGAAAATAATAGGTTAATGTTTTGTCCCATGTAAGTAAATCCCCATGCATTCTGAGAATTTACTTCCAAGAACCAGAAATTTCTATAGAAGGCCTATGCTCACAGGGTAACTGCATTGTCAGCTTAGCAGCTCCATAGGCTTTGTGTACAGGATTTTGTTTCTGGAGTTCACCTCACTGCTGGTGAGGGTAGGTCACTCACCACTCTGAATTACGTTCCTGTATTTTATACATAATTTATACAAAATATATGTTCACTTCATTAAGCCGAGGATTTTCAAAAAATTAAGGGAGTCCAATTCCTCAGTCCTAGTCATTCAATTGGGAATCCGCCCTCTTCAGGAGCCTAATTTTTCTTTCTCTCTCTCTCTCTCTCTCTCTCTCTCACAAACACACACACACTTCCATCTTTTTTTTCTGTACTTTTATACACGCACAGAAACACTTGCAGTTCAGTAGTTTTGTCTTCTTGGTGCCATGCAAGATATGCCTTTGTGGCAAAAAGTACAGTGAGCACACAGCCTGAAATACTAATGCGTATCAGCAATGAATAGTCTTTCACCTTGGAAAGCTTAATCTGCTTTTCCCTGACCATCATCAATGTGAAATATCAAAGAGCTTCACAAGCAAAATTCAACTGATCAAAACCCACAGAAGCACAAATAATATTTTAGAAAGTGTTTCATCTGAAGGTGTCTTGACGAAGGGGATTATGGAACTGAAATGTAATTATGTTAGCATTTAAGTTTCTGTTTCCACCATGTGGTCTGCTTCGCATATTTGACTGCAAAGTTTTATCATTCAAAACAGTCTATAGGTCTCTTTTTCATTGCAGATACAAGGCAAGTACAGCCATCTCCGCCGTGGTCCTATGACCAGTCCTACCAGTACTTGGGCTCCATTGCAGCGCCTTCAGTGCACCCTGCCACTCCGATATCCCCCGGGCGGGCTAGCGGCATGACGTCCCTCACTGCAGAGCTTTCAAGCCGGCTGTCAAGTAAGTTCCTTAAAAGTAGTCCTCTGCACTGGGTCTCACCAAAGCCTCACGACCGATTCCAAAGCAAAATGACTGAAATGTCCTAGGATGCTGTCACAGCTTCTCTCCAATTGCATTGAAGCATATTCTGGGCCCTCCATGGGCAGCCTTCTCAGATGGTTCACTTGGATTTGTGCAAAGAGTAAAGAAATCTGGTTTGGGGCACAACATGTCATTGTCCAAAAAAAAAAAAAAACAAAGCAGGAAAAAGTAGCATTAGCCACTTGGAAGATATATGGATCTGTAAAAATAGTTGAGAGAGCTGGAGACCTATCATATCTGCCAATAAATGAATGCCACAGATATTTCAGTTCTGTTTCCTTCCCTCACTCAAAATTCAGACCAGAGTATGGGTGGACACATTCAATGCAGGATGGTGATTTTTTGACATTTTAAAAGTGTTGCACTGTATTGTCACGTTACATCTTTGCCAAACTGTACTGCAGAGCTTTACAAACCAGCATAAAAATATAGTACAGAGGTGAAAGCTACCCCTTCGGTTTGCACTATGCACAACTGACCATCTGCCGAGTCTAACACCCACATATTGAA